TTTTACAATTATCTTAAGTACTATAGCCATTCTTTGGTGCGCTACATGATTTTTTAATACTCTTACGTTTTCTTATAATAAAATTGTATTTTACCTTCGAGTCGACGAAAAAAAGGTCCAAGTGGGAGCATTTAGCAGGTGCGCGATGACGTAGTATCCTACCATTGTTAAAGTTTTGTTGCATATTGTTTCTATAAAGTGTAAACGAAAATTACTTTAATCTGTTGTAAAAGCCTGTAATAAGTAACAATTTGCGATTTAACTGTTGTATAATGTGGCTGTCTATCTGATCCAATATGAGAGAACTCGTATAATTTTCTCTTAAGAGTTTCCTTATCGTTACAAATTTGTGTTTCATTCTACGCCTGTGTTATTATATTTGAGGACAGCTTCTATGAATATTGATCCGCGGTAATCCCACATTCGAATTTGAAATATCTTAGTCTATTCAATTCATGTTAATTTAAAACTTATATCATTGTGAGTTTGTATGCATGGGTATTTTAAACATAGATAATCATCAAACTTGAATGCTGTCTAAACCTAATTTTCACACTTTATATGAAACTCTAGGTAATATTCGGATAATTATATACGAGCAAGAATCAGATATGTAGAAAAAGTTGTGACCTATTTATCTACTTGCTTTCTACATGATAGATGTAACACAGATGGCCAAGATTTGGACGATTCGATCGTTCATTATTCTGAAGTTATTCAGATTGTCTTGAATGGTTCTCGTGGTCATATGGCGATTTTCCAGCTTTACTGGTGCAGGAAGACCTCGGGTACCTGAGTAGAACTACCGACGTTCCGTTAGCTAGTTGGATAGCTTCCTCACATGTACGGGCAGGATTCGCACCCAAAACGTTTAGGGCAAGTGGCAGATGTTGCGCTCAACAAATAGAAAATATTGATTGAAAAAGATTAATGTCTGAAATCAACATAACCTTGTTCCTTGAAGGCCTTAACCAGTAAAAAGATTCCCCGTGTTCCACATTGTTTGGCAATAGAACATATAGTAGGTTTTTCACCTTTCTATAACTATAATTTTGATAGCGGAATTTTTTTTATATAATTTTATCGGTGGTTTTGTATCTTGTATCTTAAAGTCACCCTTAGAGTGTTGATTTTTTGCATTTCTGTAATGTTATTGTCAAAGTAATGATTACTTATATTTTTTTCTGTCACAAAATACTATATCTTAAAGATTACAATGAACTTAAGAGAGTGATTAAATCCAATAAGTGTTCATTAATACAAAACAATATATTATGTTGATAATGGATAATGGATATCTATAAAGTTGTACATTTTGTTTCTGTTTGTTTTTTTTTTTTTTTTTGTTTTTTGTTTTTTTTTGTTTTTTTTTGTTACTGTTTGTTTTTTATGATGTCCTGTTTATGTCATTTTACATATTGTTTATTGAAATTAATCTAGCAATCAGTCAATATCTTTTTACTTTAGTTAATACAAATGGCTTTGCAAATCAAGAGACCATTAGATATCAAAGGCCTTACATCAAGCCAATTCTGAATTGTTCAGTTCCTGAGGCAGTTGTAAATTATTCCACTGAGTACGCGTACATACATATTTCATGTGAACGTTCTCTATTTCATTATTGATGAATATGTCCCGATACCAGAATTGGGTTAATAACCATATATCTGTAATTAAAAAACGCAACATGTTTCACACTTTAGAATACTTGTACCGTTTTCTTCTCTAGTTATATTGTTATAAAATGCGTTGCATTTTTCACGTTTTACTTTTAAGTTTGTGTCATAGATTTACATCAGTTCGAGTGATTGAAATAACAATTTTGTATTGTTATATACTAGTCCCTATATTACTGGAAGCCGATAAAAAAAACGGACGGAAAATGTGTGAATTATTAACCTAACAGTCGCTAGGGTAATAATTGTTTCATTTTTTACATTTTCAATTAACGGCAAAATACTTTTTTGTTTACCGCTTAGTAATTCAACCCTTATTTTTCTAGGAGTAACAGCTTATGTCCATGCGACCAATGTAGACCAGGACAAGGCGGCAAACTGTGTCTTTTGTTAATGGACCACACTGTTCGCTTTTCAGTCAATACACATATTGAAATTTGCACGGAAATAATGAATGGTTCTGTCGAGAGATTGCACAAGCCGATTTAAGATATTTCAGCACGGATATCATTGCTTTATAAATTACACTAATATACATGTATTTTGTATCGAGTCTGTTGGAAGCTACAAGCCCGTATCCGTCGTTCCTGGAGCCAACAAGTACTCAGCAATGAGTGTAAAGTTTCTTGCTCACGGAAACAGCGGTTTGCCAATGACATGGTTGCTTAGATTGCTAGTCCGACGCGTTAACCACTCGGCCGCCACTAACCACTATGTTTACATTTTACCTTTACAACACATTACTGTCTGTTCAGTGCTATTCTCTTCATTTGTTAAACATCTAACATGCTCTAAATCTACTTTCTAAACATTTTAAACACATATTTAGCTGTTTTAAAGAATTAAAAAATAAATAGATGTCTGAGGCATCATTTGCCTTTGTATACCGTACTTTATAATAATTTGTATGTTTATAAACTACTCCTTTTTCCATAGGATGTCTCGAATTCATTGTAAATAAAGTCTATCGTATTCTCTGGTGGTTTTGATGGATATGTTTTTGATAAATAGATATATGTTTTAGACACGCTCTCAAAATGTAGATATTCAAGATAGATCATGTTTGTAAAGAGACAGTAGACTCTGAATAAATACGTTAATTATCTGGATACAACATAATAATGAAACTTTGTGAGTTTATACGGAGAAAAATAATCAAAAGATACGCACAGAACAAAAAAATGAATTCCTCAAATAGTTGTACATTTTGTCATAACAATAGAAGCTGTTCTTGAAATAACTGTTGAATGAATGAACCAAGTTTAATGTTAAAATTGCGCCTCTCCTAAGTTTAAATAATGTTATTGATCAATTATATATATAGTTTTCAACTTATTTTTGCAACAATATTCGATTAAAGAAGAAAAATCGAAAAATCGTTATTTAGCGAGCACTGGTGCATGCATGAGCTTGAAAGAGATACTTCATATCTAGATTATTGTAATCATAGATTATCATGTAATCACTGATTCCATATCTATGTCATCCAATACTGATAAAAGAAATAGATCAATGGGTGACTATTTGGAGCCAGTAAATTGTTTTTGTTAAGTAAGAACTTGTGTCATTTGTACAGTGAGGTTTGTTTGTATTTTTGGAAGTCATAAGCATATCTAAAGTGCAACCACCTGTGACTAGTATTGTATCAAAGGCCTTAGAATACACAATATTTGTCTTGACAGGAGAAGAAGAAAAGAAGAAAAATTGGATGGCATGTAAAATGCATGTAAAAATATTTGTCTGTGATAAATAGAAAAGTTCAAACTTTATATACACGACCCCTGAATGTCTAGGTCTGTTCATCTTAGAAACGGTAAAGGGTATTTTGACAAAGATATGTGGTCCTCAAGAAATTCCCAAAACTGAGATCACCGATTCCGTATCTGTCATCTTGTAACAATATTTCAATAATAGATAAGACGTCAAAAAATTAATCGATTCATCTCGGAGAATATCTTGTTTGTGTAAGATACTTTGAGCATCATAGTGTACAAACTTTTAAGTCAATTTATAACTTTAAAGGTCATATGCCAATTTTCAGCTTTACTGGTCGAGGTAGACCTCAGATGCTACCCTTCGGTGTTGTCGAATTGATCGTGCATAGCTGTGCATACGTGAAATAAAGTAAAAACGAGATAAGTCTTAAGTTATCAATCTAATGTCCTAAGTCTTTGTATTGAATTGTTTTGCTTTTTAAATAAAAGTGTAAATATTGCGATTGGCGTATTATAACGGTGTTAGTCTTTACATCAAACTCTTACTGTTTTACTTTACGGTTTACGAGAACTTTGCCATGCAATATGAGGTTTGGTAATGTATATAATCACTTATAAAGGTTATCCCTCGGAAGCATTAATCACAACACAATTATATGAAAATTGCAGGCTCGATTGCGTGAGGGATAATAAAAAATTACGCCCCTTAGCACCCGTTTGAGCGGTACTCAATTTTCAAAACTTAAATGTGTTGGAATCCATGATCCCGAAGGACTAGAAAAATATAGCAACCCTCAAATTTAACTTTACGAAAATGTTGCGAACTACAAAAATATATTAAATCATTATAATAATGTAACACTGTATCGGTAGTTCACTGTATAATTTACGGTTAATTTGAAAGTAGGTGTGTATGTCTTTTTATCGGGATTTCAATGTATATTTTTACAAATGTAGACAGATGATTTTCATTGATTTAACCCACGAAAATATTTAAACTATAGTTCTGTCTGGTTAGTTTTTTTTTAAGTTTTTGTAACCAGTATAAAGTATTATATTGTAAATATGTATAATTAATATGGTATGCAGTGCATGCAAGACATTAAATTACAAATTTACAATGGCGGTTTATACTATCTATTTATTTATATATTCATTCATTCATTCATTCATTCATTCAGAAAAAACAATGCATCTAATTATTTGAAAAGTATATATAGTACTGCGCATTAATAAACTATAAAAAATATAAAACTATGAAATAAAACGTACGTTATGAACATAGGAAATCTATGATAAATAAATACAACATGAATGTGAAATGCGTTTGAAAAAATCAAAGAGTAAGTCTTCCATTCATGTATTGAGACATTACTTTGTACGTAGAAAACGTTACTATAAAGCCTCTTGTTTTGTATTTCTGTCAGGCCTGTGGCAGTTTTCAAGTCAACCATTCACGATTTATAACAATCATGTAAAACTTTATAGTGTTTAGCAAGTATTCAACAGTTTTCTTACTTTCTTTAACACAAAATGTTTTCTTCTTGATGCTTTAAACACAGCATCTCTATCGTGACGATAGAAAACTACATCATCTAGGTACTCGTACGTAATTTGAAAATATTACAAATGTCTTTCTTTTCAACCATTTTTGACTGTATTTGTCCAATGGAGCTTCAATGTTCTTTCTCATGTGAACACGTCTCAAATATAGTCCATTCCATTCATACTGTGTGACATTGATAACAAGATTACGCCTGTCTTTTTTTTCTTCCTTCCCTGTTATCTTCACGTAAAACACTGCATTGCAATTTTTAAAGCGTCATTAATTGATTTATCAGTTAGCATTTAAAAGCATAAGTTAATGAATACTTTTTTAAGATAAAATAGCAATGATCGAGTTAGTATTAAGAGTTAATTGAGTTATATCGAGGGCTGGTTGTGTAACAGTTGTAACTGATTTGACATACATAAAGAGATACACCCATTTTTCACCAAGCCCTCGATAAGTACATTTGTCATATATCTCAATCTTTTGTTTTCAGCTGCGACTTGATCACATGTATGTGTTTTGTACAAAAGCGAGATTATAATCTACTTGTTGCATTTTTTTCTTTACGCTCTGTAATGTTTAAAGCAGCATGCCTCCAGATTCATGCTTATTTTTATGAAAATTTGAAAATGTATTTAACAGCATACTTTTGTGAAGTAACCAAAAGAATGGAATTAACACATTATCAATGACACTTACAACCCATGTAAATTACCATAAATGGGTCAAAATATGCAGAAATAGCCCTTACTGCGTTAGTAACGCAGTAGAAATATAGTTATAATACTAAGAAAATAGTCATTAATCGCACATAATATGTAAATTATTGCCTGAATTTTTTAATCTTTATACTTTTTCTTAAATCTTATTACATTTTTCTCAGGTTTGATTTTACTTCAATATTCAATTGATAATTCATGTTTTGATATTGATGATTTTAAAATTAATAAAGTAGAGAAATGATGAAAAGATTTATTAATACACACAGCATATCAATACTTGTTTCGTTTTTTCAATAACATTAAGGAATACATTATGTAAATAACAAAGGATACCAAAGGAAAATGAAAGTATTTCTCAAATATAATTTACATTTCTTAAACAAGAAATCCAGTTATATGTAAAGATTTATTTGCCTATTAAGTGTGTGATGTTTCTTTTCTTTTTTTCCGTTAAACCAAGTACTTTCAAGTATCCAATTTTTATATAAAGAATTCTTACCAAATTTTTTACTGCATATTTCAATTTTTGTACTTGACCAAACAGGGTACATTTTTCTAAGCGTTGGCAATTTACTACTCATCAGTGCCTCGTTGCGTGAACCATGCTGACAAGGTAATTTGGTTGACCTTCTTGCAAACACTTGTACGCCACAGCAGCTGTAAGTTTATATAATAAAAAAGTAGTCATCATATCGGATACATCTCCCCTATAAGTGTTTAGCATTGCAAAATAAACAAAGACCCTTAATGTTGTAATTAAAGGATTTAACAAACAGCTAAGTAGGTTTTATATAATTATGCATATAATTATTCTTCTAATCTAAAAACAATTTCCACAAACATCCAAGAATATGTTAAATATGTACAGCAATGTTTATATACATTATAATTAAACTTTTACTCTGACAGACAATTCAGGAATTCATGATTTAATTTAATAAGACGTACAAATTACACTTCTCATCTTACATAATAACAGATTGTTGGCCAACATCTCTCCCGCCACAATGTCCCCCTTTAATATTTAATTTCAATCCGTTTAAAGGTACTTACACATGATTTCTTTCTGGCTTATTGTCATAGATTGTGTATTCATTACTTGTCATCTGACAGCAAGTTTGTTTGCTTGGCTGGTATGCCACTGGGCCACAACATCCGACAGTGCCTTTCTTGTTAGTATAAGTACTAAAAGTTCTTCCATTACAAGCTAATGTAACGATGCTTTTCAACAAAAAAGAGGATACTTATTGATTTATTTAACATTTCGTTCATCTGGAGACAGGTAGCTTTAAAGTTAAAAGGAATGCTAGGATATATGCATTACATCCAAAACAATAGAATGTTTTAATAAATTGTGGAAAATTGTACATATTATTTAACCATCTGGAAAACAACGTCAGTGGATTTAACAAAATAAACTTTACACATTTCAAAACAATACGGAAAGGGCAGTCATTACAGTGATATTATGTTAAAAAACAACGTTGTTTAAACGGATAGGATAAACATATTACTTTATTAAGTCTTTAAAGACTGACCTTTGGGAGTAATTGAGGTAAATTGTGCATAGATAAAATTTACACATTTCAAAACAATCCGGGAAGCGAAGTCATTACATGTGATATTATGTTAAAAAAAATGTTATTTAAACGGATAAGAATTTTAAGTCTTTAAAGACTGTTTTTAGGGATATACACGTACGTATATTTGATTTCATTATTCATCGTTTAAAAAATAAAAGAAATACCTGAGAGAAGTGTTAATTGTTGATCTGTCGTCTTGTAAAATTATTGAAGTGGAGTTAAAATTTGTTGTTGGCGGTACCAATAGTGGCCTCAACTTTCTTCTGTCAATCAAATGTCCGTTGTTGCATTCTTGTGTTTCGCTGTCATATTTGGTAAAAATTAGTCCAGATCTACAGAATAATTTTACACTTACGCTCTCTGAAAATGTAAAAGAATCTGTTTTAAAATGCGCAAAACACCTACAATATACTTACGACTTTATTTGTGTAAATTTTTCTACTTACTTTAAATGATGCCAGCGATTTTTTTGTGAAACAATCTTAATTATTATCAAAATATAATTTTACCTTGGCAAAAACTGATGAAGATCATCAGACATAAAATTATGACTCCTGCTTTGAACAACATTTTTTTTGAATATTTGAATTAATCTACCTATTAAGTCACCTATATATTTCAAATAATTACATAAATCTAAATTAGTAACTTGGTTTTCCATCATTCATCTTCATTTTCTTTCATCTTGTTTCCACCCACGCTTGGAAATAGGTAAACAAACAAATAAACAAAGGATTAAACCTGAATTAAATATATAGTAAGCATTTAATATAATGTCTATTATGCTTCAAAAATGCTTTTATTTTATTTCCCTAAATCTTTTAAATCTGGGTGTACTTTTACAGTTTCCGAAAAAATAGTCTTTGGTCAATTGCCTGAACTATAATTTTATCTTTGCGGCAATAAGAACAGTTATGTTAATTTGCTTTTGTATGGAAGTCAAAATAATACTTTTTTACATTTTGCTACATTTATGACAAATTATCATAAAACAAATCATTTCAAGTGTGCCAGCTGACCTCTGTAAGGAGTTTATACTTTAGGCATCTGCACCTTTATTTGCCACTAGTCATTGAACGAATAATGCTTTGTCGTTCTGGCCTTATCTTTGTTGTTGTTGTTGTTGTTTTTTTTGTTTTGTTTTTTTTTTCTGGTGGGGTGGAGGTGGAGTGGATGTTTTTCTTTCTTCCTTTTCAAGAATAAAGCAAGCGAAATATTTTATAATAATACAATATATGATCGCCTAAATATGACAGAAACTATAAATGGACCTTATCTTATCAATTAAGCCTCGTTTCTGTTTTTAGAATCCAAATATCTATATCAAATGCATATCGTACTTAATGAAGGTTAAATAATAGTGGTGTAAAATAAAGAAGCCATTTTACATGTTTGAGAACATCACTGGATCTATTGGACTAGCGTATCGTCAAAATAGGTTTGACATCTGTGTACATGTCCAGTCGAAGTCAATATTGTACTCAAAACTGTATAATAACCTCATATTATTATATACCTCATAAATCTAGACAATCGACAATCTGCTTTTTTACCTCGTGACCGTCCACATATTCCCGTATTGGATCAAAAAAAGTTATTTCCTCATTGGACGGCTGGGGACATGTGCACTAAACGACTGCGCATATATTTTGACGTGACGTCATTTTCGTTATATAGACGCGCAAAATATTAGCGTTATACTATTGTCAATGTGATAATTGAGATAAGGGATGTCAATGTGATGTTTTTGAAGATTAAATGTCATATGATTATGATGTTTATTAAATATATATTAATGATTAATGTAAGTTGTTACAATCATCATCATGAATAAAATGTACATTAAATCAACTCACGTGAAAATTCAAAGGCGCCAATGAGCAAATTGGCTCAAAAATTATTAAATTGGCTCAAGAAAATCACGATTAGCTCAGACTTACAAAAAGTATGACTTTTGGAATCTCCAGTCTAAATTTAGCATTTGCTATTTTAAGAAAGGAAAAGTACACATTTGGTTTCCCAGCTTCCACAGCGACGCAGTTATATTTGTAATTTCCCTTCCGAATGACATATCGATATGAACTACTGGTTACATCAGCTGATAAATATGACACTTTTTTGAAAATAAAAAACAGACATGCAATTTTCGCTGCTATAGAATGGCTAAAACAATTTGCCAGTGCTAGCCCTGTTTCCGTTCATTAATTGTTGGTCCACTAATATAATAACTGGGCCACCAATATTTAACAGTCATTGGTAATTTTAACTGTCATTTTCTTGAACTCACAGTAAATGATAAATTAATAAATAACGTCTGATTATAAAAAGTATTCGTTGTATCAGTCAAATCATAAAATTTATGTTTGTATACAACAAAACCATTCATATTAATATCATATTCTCCTCCGAACAACCTCGAAGTCTGAGTAATACATGTAAAGATTTATGAAAAAGGTTAAAAATCGGCGGTATGAAATATATATAATAATGTCGTTATACATTATTGAATACAATACAGATTTTATTATAGTTCAGTATTACACCCAGCAATGTATAATAATCCCATACATCAAAGGCGATTCATCGGTGTTTAATGCAACTGAATGACTCAACATTTGCTATTATAAAACTGTTAAATGATATCATTATGTAAAATCAGTTAAAAAGGCAATGAAGACCAGATGTAATACAGTGATATGTCATATAAACTATAGCAAACATTGTAACTTGTTCAAAAGCACAAATCCGTAAACATTATTCAAATATTTTGAATTCCAGTTTATAAAACACATTCCTAAAGAAAAGTTTAAAAAATAAATAAATATATTTATTTTTAAAAATACTCGGCCGTGATAAATTTAATTTAAAGTGTTGAGCCTTTGTACATAAATATTTCAAATATTGATAAAAATATAAAAATTCAATAGAAATAAGTCGTTTGAGAAATGTTAATAAAGGTATAGGTGAAGAATATGAATATCTTAATGATGAAAAATAATATTATGTCCTAGATTACTTTATTATCTTATATATTGTAGACACTAGAAATAGATATGTAAAATTGGGATAATATATTTCTTAAATACCAATAACAATAATATAGCATTCATTTTGTGGTTTGTTTGGCATTTATTGAACTAAATGGTAAATGCTATCAACACAATTATTTACCACATTTCAAACTTTCCACGTTTTAAATTAAATGTTTTGAAATCATTTTTAGCTAGTGTTGCGTAACTTTGTAATGTTAATGTTCGTAATGTTTATATAATTTTAACATTTTGACCGTATTACTGACTTTATGCAAAAAATGAAAAATATTCCTAGAGATATTGACGTCATGGTTAACATGACATTAATTTAAATGATTTATCTTTTATATTTAATTAAATATTGAATATTCAAATTTGGTGGGACAGACTTTAAATACGCTTTAACTGGATTTCTGCGCATGAGTCGTTGGACTGTGTTTTCCATTTGCGCCAACACAAATACCGATCTCGTTATTTTCAATGTGGGGTATTCCTGGTCATCAGTGATGATCTCCCTTGGCAAAATGCCAAATAACTAAGGGGAGATCACTGCGTGGAAATTGGGTCTGGCGTTCCTTCTCTATATACTTTATTATACTTTCCGTAGTAAATGGACTAGGGTATTCCGAGCATGCGAACGCGTTGTTCGTAATCGGACACGTAAACATGCAGCATTCTTTTCATCGCAATCAGACCATCGCATAATGTTTCATCAACGATTCATTACAGTGCAACCATTTAGTATACAATTGTGTATTTATGTTTATATGAAAGAATTAATGTAAATTTATATACGCAATAAAATAGATCTACTATTAAACTGAAAAGTGAAAATTTTAAACTAAACGCCTCCAAATGAGCCAAAAAAATCAAGAAAACCAGACTTGAGAAAAATGTACTTAGATTTCTATTGTCTAGTAAAATTATGCACAATTTAATGACTAATTCTTGCATAATCTGACCTATTTTTATATATATTTGTCAGTATTTCTATAATTTTCGTTTTAAACAAAACATTTACTTGCATAAGTTGAACTAATCTTCAATGCTAAGTATGAAATTCTAAGGTAGATCCATTAGGGCAGTGACAATATTGTCATTCATGATATCATGGTTACAGTTTGGGGGTAGTAATTAAATTTAACATCTGAGAAGTGCCATTATAAGTAAAAATAGTTCAGTCTACTTTAATTTGGAAACCCAGTTTATCATCTGATTAACTATCAAAATATATACATGTATATGTCGTGAATCATCCTAACCAAACTTTTTTGAATATACATATTAAATTGACCTTATTTTGAATAGTTATAACCTAAAAACATAAGCTAGTAAAAATGTGTCGGTTTATTCATTTATTTATTTATTTATTTATTTAATCGAATTTGAATTCAAAGTGTAAAATTGCTAAATATAAACTGATATTGTATAAGGCACAAATTTGCTAGTTTTTCATCGAAAAATTCCATCATGAAAAAAAGCGAAAACAACTTTCACCGTGATAAACGGCGAAGAACGGAAAACGTAATCTTATATCGCGAGTTTTAACTGTTTTATAGCTTTTTTGTATGGAATAAATATTTAAGGTCATATAATAAAGAATGTTGTGAAGAAAATCCGTTTGCATTTGTTTTTAGGGATTGTGCGCTTATTTCTGTGAGTTGTAACTTTCAATATTGGCAAAAAACTTCAAATGATTTGTTTCTTGATTAAATTGTATAAGAGACAAATTTACAATATATGCAAATTTTAATTTAAGAGAATCGCATTGAACTATTTAGCAATGTTACACTTTAAAGTCCAAAGTATTCAACATTTTCTTCGTAAGGTATGGTGGCACAGAAGGGCCTTTATTATGAAAGGCGCACGTACTGACACAACAATTTTCATGTGCAAATAAATTAATAATAAGCGTATGTGGGTAAGCCTGTTTAAAAATGCTCACGTGATAAATTTACGCATGCACACGTGATAAATAGACACAAGTGCACGTGATAAATATTTATTACGATGCCACCTCTGTCCCGATGTTTGCCTTACAAAAGGTGCTGTAGTTTTAGTATAAATAATTAATTACGGTGGTGAAAAGCCCTTTTGTTGCTTTGCGTTCATGAATTCATTAATTTACATTTTACACAGGTTTGCTTTACCTTAAATTATAATTAGACCAAAGATCAGTGAAATAACGAAACAGTGTCTTGATACTCAACAAAAAATATAATTCTACGTATACACGATGGCGACAAAATTATTCAGCCTACCGGAATTTATATACAATGTAGTTAGATATTCTCTCCTGTATCCTGTTCTGTTCCTATAGCATACAGTTCTAACATATTTAATCCATGACATTTATGTAAGGTTGCTTGGAGCCTTGCGGAACATAAAATATAAAGCATATGTCTATTTGTCCAAGAAAACGCATGTTTAAAACGAAGAGGTAACGTTTTTCTATTTATAACAATAATGATATATATGCAATCATCGCCAACAGTCTTAAGATTTGCTTTAATAAGAATATTTTCATAATTTGTTACAATGAACTGCATAATATATATACTGATATTTGCTG